TCGGTCGAATCTGCGATTTCCTCCTGGATGGAGCTAAAATTGCAGCTCCCACGAGTGATCTCGCCGCCTAACCAGGCATATCACGCGCGAGCGCGTTTCCTTGCCGCACGACGGGCAACAAGGAATTGGTGGGCTTTACCCAAGCGATGCGTACTCTCATTGCCGGGATGGCAGCAGATCCACTTCCTGAGGTGGTCATAGTGACCGTCTTTATGGAAGGCCCCCGCAATGGCGTGGTTAGAATGGAGTCTTACATGTGCACTCGTCTTTATTTGAAGAGACGGTGAATGTGGCATTGAATGCCGAATTCAATTTCAAATCGGCACGACTTGGTTGAAATGCAAACTCCAACAGCTCGTCAAACGGGCCTATGCCCATGGATCTCAGCAATTCTGAGGACGAGGGAGCAGAGCTCCGAGCTGCCGGGCAGCACACAAACACACGAAGGTATTTTGTCTGTGGAGACACCCGTCATCTTCGGAACGGTTGCCCCCTGCGCAAGGCGCGTCAAGGTTTTCGAACCATCACCCCAACGCCTTATAGTCTGGTTTGTCGTGGGGAAACGACACCACTCAGTAGGCGCGGGACAACCTACTGGAAAAGAAGTGAGTTCTGTTGAGCCACAGGGAGGCATTGGTCAATAAGGTCTAGCCCCGAAAAGTTTTGTGCTCTTGAACATGGAATGTGTACGCAAGCCGGGCTTGGTGGTCGTGGAGGCGACCGTAAAGGGCTTCGAGAAGCCTTGGGCGATTCACATCGATTTCGGGGCGTCAGGCAATCATGCTCGACACTTCACGATGGAGAAAAGTTAGTTGTATGCTGAGGCGCTAAAACCGCGGCTGGGTGACATCTTCACTATTCGCCTAGCGACGGGGACACGCGTCACGGTCCCGAAGGTCCCTGTGGACCTCGAAGTCAAGTTTCGTGATTTTGAAAGCGTGGTACGCTGTCTAGTCTTTGAACTGGATGCAAGGTAAGACCTCATCCTAGGAATGGCATGGTTGGTACACTATGAACCATAAATTGATTGGAGGTCAAAGGACTTGGGCTCTACGCGCACGTCTCCTAGTTGAGCTTTGGCGAGTCATGAACCCACCCCCGCTAGGAGGCAAAAGCGCTAATGGCGAGAGCACTGTACCGAGACGGTCAACGTGCTGGACATTGGGATGTCCGAGTTGGTAGACAACAACGGTGTATCGGACAGGATTCCCGAGCGTGGCTCGCGGGCTGATCGTGAAGTCGCACGTTACCCACTGAGAACTATTCCAGTTTTGGAGCAGTCGCTGCATGTCATGCGTGACATGGTCGGCCGAGGGCCGAGGCAATGAGGGCGAGGCCCTCGTGATGCGCGTGGAGTGGCACAAAAACCACTGAGCACTGCTCTCATAGCGTATCAGTTGCTGCATGCCACTGATGGCGTGGTAGGACAGATTCTGAGGCTTCTTGGGCACGGCCCTTCATATGCGCGTGGAGTGGTACGGTATCCACTGGACGAAAATCGCGGGATTAGCGGTTCTTCGTCGGATGTTGTAGATAACATCGGAGCTCCAAAGGAGCAGAAAGTGGGGGAGACACCGGATGACGCGGGATTCGTGTTCACCCTGGTCTCACCGAGACATAGAACCTCCGTACAGAGGCGACGGCGATGCCTTATGCTGGCTGCAAGACGCCGGGCGTTGGCCCTGATCCAGAGTGAGTCTACGGTAGACGATGGCGCACAGTTATACACCCTCGTCAACGGTATGACGGGGGAGAAAGATG